TCACTTATACACAGAATTCAGGAAACAAAACAAATGAACAAACAAAATAAACAGACTCTTAAATACAGAGAACAAAGTGGTGGTTGCCAGAGGGGAGGTAGGTGGGTGAATGAGCAAAATAGATGAAGGGAATTAAGAGATACAAACTTCCAGTTATAAAATAAATAAGTTGCAGAGTACTAAAGTACAATGTATGGAATATATTCAATAACATTGTAGTAACATTGTATGGTGACAGACTGGGACTACACTTACTGTTATGAGCATTGAGAAACTTGTCAAATCAATATTTTGTATACTTGAAACCAATATAACATTGTATGTCAATTTTACTTCAATAATAATTATGTAGCAAACTAATATATATATAATATATATATATGTGTAAATGTATATATATTTCCATGCCTATGCATATGAAACTGCTGGATTATAAAGGAAAGATGTAAAAATGTTCAACTATAATGGAATTCCCAATTTTACACTTCCAACATCAGTGAATAGGAATTCTATTAATCTCCTTGAGAGGTACTGTCTGATTTTTACATGTTATTAGCCTTTCTGGTTCATGTGAAATATTATTGTATTGTGGTTTTAATTTTCATTTTCCTGGTAATTCATACACCTAAATATTTAATTATGATATTGGCTTTTTCTATGATCTTTTTTACGTAAGTTTTCAAGTATTTTGCCCAATTTTCTAATGCATTAATGTCTTTTCCTTATTGATTTGTTGGAGATTAGTTAGATTGAAAACTATTTTCTCCAAGAAAGAAAAATAAAATAGAAATTAAGGGTAAATAAAACCTCATATAGCAGTTCTTATTGCTGATTTCAGGATGTTGACTTAAAACAGCTTATCTAACATAACACAATAAAAAATAAATTAAAAAAAACATCTTATCAGTTTTGAAATTCAGTCTTTTTACAGAGAACAGTTGTGTTCTCTTTTTGCGTATGCATGCTAGTGTTCCTTGTTTTGGGATCATAATCACTTTGTTGGTTTCTTAAATATATTCATCATAAGCTTCTTGAAAGCAGAGATTTATCTTAGTCATCTATGTGTTCCCCAGCCTAGTTTCCAGCACAAAGGTGCCCAGCATCTAGTTCCTGCATGAGTGAAGTTAGTTTACTTATCCTTGGAAAAACTTTGAATAGCAGTATGCAAATGCTCATTCACATAAAATCAATTAAGATTAGAAGCTGGATCACTCTAACTCTTCTCCACATTGAATTAAAAAGTCTCTCATTCTTGGGATTCATTGTAACAAAATGAAAGAATGGTTACTTGTGTGCATTCGATAACTATTACTACACAATACTCAGTTTATGCATAGTGGGTTTTCTGATTGATATATATTGCTAGAAGTCCACATTGCTAGGAGTTTTGACTAATCCAAAATGCTTATGAGACAAATTGGTGAGCTCAATCTCTGAGTTATGAGTAGCTACATCATAAAATAACACCTCAGTTTGGACAGCCATTGATTACCTGCTCAGATATCAGAGCTCCTGTCCACGTGAATTCTCCCTACATTCTTCTTGGAGAAGAATTGACAAAGATTACTAGGAATGCAGGGAAGATTTTAATAAGAAACTAGAGCTGGATCTTTTGTGCAATTCAGTGACTGATGTTATCTTACTAGTTCCTCTCACAAAGACAACACTTACTTAGGAAAATCTCTAAAATATACATAAATTTCTGCCTGTAATCTAGGAAATGTTTCACAGGCTTGCAAAAAGAAACTCCAAGGGGCACCTGGGTGGCTCAGTAGGTTAAGCCTCTGCCTTCGGCTCAGGTCATGGTCTCAGGGTCCTGGGATCGAGCCCCGCATTGGGCTCTCTGCTCAGCGGGGAGGCTGCTTCCACCCCTGCCTCTGCCTGCCTCTCTGCCTACTTATCTCTCTCTCTGTCAAATAAATTTTAAAAATCTTTTTAAAAAAAGCTCCAAGAAGAAAATACTTGCACTATTAAATTATCTTAAAGCTGTTTGTTTTTCAAATGTTGCATAAATACTGAGTAGAAGAAATATTTGCATGAGAAAATAGAGATCTGTATACTGAAAGATGATTTGTGAATTCTGCAAATGTAAGTTAATATTTTTAAAATGTTTTCTAATGGACTGTGAGTGCAGCTCATTAAGACTATGCATTCAAAGGAGACACTACAGTTCCTGATTTGAAAAGACTTCTGAGTCAGCACTTTACTAATACTACTGTTCTGACAGTGAATACTAAAAAAAAAGTTTAGAATTAGTCAAACATAATATGGCAGAAGCATGTGAAATTTTATTATAATGCTTACTTATAATTTAGATTGTTGTCGGGTGCCTGTGGATAAGGAATTTAGCTTAAATAATCATTTGTAGATGATGCACTTGATATTAAGTGGTCTGAAAAGGAAGCAGTTTTATTAAGTAAAATAAGTTCTAAACTGATAAAATAATTGATGCAGTTCATAGATTGAATGTGATTATTGTAACTGTATCTTCTCAATTGAAACAATAAAAATGAGCATATAATTAACTAATTGTAATACCTTTTATGCGGCTCTTTGAACATACCCTGTTAAGTCCTGCTATGCTCTTTGAGACCAGTTCTCCAGCTACAGAGAATACTCATAGCTTATTTTTAACATTTGTATTTTTTTCCCTGCAAGAGGACCAGCTAACAATTTAAATCAAGTTTTCGATATATAATTTCCATACAATGAAGTTCACCTCTTTGTATAGTTAGATGACTTTTGACAAGTGGACACAGTTCTGTAACCAAGACCACAATTTATTTATCTGCTGATGAACCCTTGTATTGTTTTTAGTTTCTGTCTATTATGAATAAAGTTGTTATGAATATTCATGTATATCTTTTTGTGGACACATGTTTCATTTCCCTTGGATAAATACTTAGTAGTGCTGAATCTGATGGTAGGAAAGAAAGATTATATAATGTTTGATTTTATAAGAAACTGCCAAAACATTTTCCAAAGCATATGTACTGTTTTATAATTCCACCAGCAATGTGTAAGACATCTAATTGCTCCACATTCTCACCAGAACTAGCTATTGTCAGTCTTTTTAACTGTAGATATTGTAGTATGTTAGTGGTAATATCTCATTGGGGTTTTAATTTGCATTTCCTTAATGAAAAATGATATTAAGCATTTTTCACATGCTTATTGGTCATTCACATGTCTTCTTTGATGAAGTGTGTTAAGTATTTTCTCTGTTTTTATTCTGTTGGTGATCCTAAAATTGTAAGCATTCTTTATGTATTGTGAATACAAGTATTTTATCAGATATGTGATTTGCAATTATTTTCTCCCAATATGAAGCTCATATTCTTATTTTCTTAAGTGTCTTTTGAAGAGCAAAGGGTTTTTTGTTTGTTTTAATTTTAATGAATTCTTTTAAGTTTCATGCTTTTTGTGCCTGTTGAGAAACAGCCTAACCCAACAACACAAAAAATTTCTTCTGTTTTCCTCTAGCTTTATGGTTTTAGGTTTTGTAAATTTCTGGTTAAATTGTGTATATGACATAAGAGTTGATAATCTTTTTTTATATGGATTTACATTTGTTCAATCACTGTTTTTTGGAAGATTGTCCTTTCTTTGTCTATTGAATTACCTCAGCACGTTTTAAGAAAATTAACTGTATATATATTTTTTTTCTGGACTCTTTTTTGTCCTGTTGATTTATATGTCTCCCCTTTGCCAAAACTATAACTTCTTGATTACTATAGCTTTAATATAAAATCTATTCAGAACACTTTTGTGACCATATAACCCTCAAACCTAGACTTGCCAAAGATTACTAGTATTATATCCATTTTACTGATGAGTAAACAGAATCACAGAGAGTTTGGCCTGCCCGAGTTTATACAGCTATCAGTAGACCTGGCATTAAAATCTCCCCAAATCCTAGTATATTATTTTTTCCTACCAAACTAACAAAAGTAGTGAAAGGAGACTGTGTCTCAGTGGTACACAGTGGCACATTAGGAGATGTTTTCTGAATAACAGACTCCTATGTAAAGGCAGGGAACTCAACAACTACTTAAGACAGTAATAATTTTAGTCCCTCCTTGGTGCAAAATAATAACCTTTTTAGTTCTCAGTATTTGGCTTTGTGAATGGTACATTCAGCATTACTGCATCTGCTGTTGCTCTATAATTGGGCTTAATTGGGCTTTGCCTATTCTTAATCCTAATCTAAATGCTAATTAGGTTTAATATAGGAGGACTCTTTCCAAAAGGGAACTGTTTCTTGAGTTCTACCTTACTGGAATTTATTTGATTGTATTTTTGACCTTGCAAATTATTTTCTGTTGGTGATTTGCTTAAAAGGTAGTCTTTGAGTAAAAGAAAAATTAAAATTTAGAAGTAAATTAAATTAAAATTTAATTAATTAAATTAATTAAAATTAATTAATTAAAATTAAAAAGTAAAATTTTCTTCTGTACTTTATAGGCCTTATGCCAAAATATTATCTTCTTCTTGTTTTTTTGTAGTGTTCAACAATTCAGTAGTTGTGTTTAACACTCAGTGCTCATCACAACATGTGCCCTCCATAATACCCATCACTGGGCTACCCCATCCACCCAGCCCTCTCCCTTCTGTAACCCTCAGTTTGTTTCCCAGAGTCCAGAGTCTCTCACGGTCTGTCTCCCTCTCTGATTCCTTCCTATTCAGTTCTCCCTCCCTTTCCTTGTGGTCCTCCACTCTATTCCTTATGTTCTACATATGAATGAAACAGTATGGTAATTGTCTTTCTCTGCTTGACTTACTTCACTCAGCATAATCCCCTCCAGTTCCATCCATGTGGATGCAAATGGTGGGTATTCATCCCTTCTTATGGCTGAGTAATATTCCATTGTATATATGGACCACATCTTCTTTACTGTCCTCCTAATTTGATTGCATTTTTAGAATTTTATTGTGCATCAAACATGTATAGTCCTAGGTTTGCATAGGGTAATTGTATTGTTTGATCTTCTCTCCTTCAGAATGAAGAAGTCAGATTCATTGAAAATGAGCTAGAGATTCAAAAGCAAAAATACTTTAAACTTCAGACATTTGTTAGAAGCTTGATACTAGCTATGAAAGCTGATGATAAGGAACAACAACAGGTAGGTGCCAGAAGAGAATAGTAAGCTGTAATGTATCATGTTGAAAAAATGACATGGCACATTTGAGTTCTTAATATTTTTTCATTTTTATACTTTTTTCCTGCCTGCCTCAAGAAAGGATTTGTTACTTTATAACTTTTTTAGCACAGTATTTTTAAGAGTAGATATTCAGATATTCGTGTGCTGCCTTAATAGAAAATCAAAATAATTGATTAATACTTTGTTAATTTCAGGCTACAGTTAAAAAGGGAAAAAATAATTTTAAAAAATGAATTTTAAAGAAATTCTCCATGTTTGTATAGTCTGGGCTACCCTAACTGGAGAAACACACATTTTGAAATCTTTTGTGAATAAAATATTCTGGTGCAGAGTGCAGGACCAAATCCAACTTGATGTGTGTTTTTTTGGAACTCAAAAAAAAAAAAGGTGAGGCATTTGCCTCTCTTCTGTATTTCAGTTACCTTCCAGACCTCAATAGATTTCACAAATGTTTAAATACCTTCTATTTCAAAATATGTTGCTTATCACTAAGAAATATAAAATTACTTTGTAAAATTTTTTGTGATCACAGTGCATTTACTTTTCCCAATTTAACTAGAATGCTTGGTTCCTTTACCCCAAAGATGTATTTTATTTATCACTATGGAATTATATTTACAAATTCCTCCCAAATTACATATGTTGTCTCATTTTTTTATGTGAAATGTATATAAAAATGTATTAAGCTTGCTTTAAAATTATAGAATTTTTCTAATGTTACACTCAATACTAAATGATACCAAATTTGCCTGAGTGGTATACTATTGTGTCAATTTCTTGAGACATTCGGTGAATAGTAGGTCACACAAGTAACCATTAATTTGGAAGCAGTCTTGTAGGTTTTTATTCAGGAAAGAAATCTGATGCATACTGTACAAAAATTCATCCCTTATATCCAAGCAAGACTGCTCATTTGTAGCTCATCCCAGATATCTCCAGGGAAAAAGAAGAGTATTAGCCTCCCACAATTCTTTTTTAAAAGAAAAGATTTTACCCATGAGACTCAAACCAGCATGTACAGTATGTGCCCAGTTTTATAAGTTTACTTTCCCTGTGCTTCGCACACACAGACATTACAAGACAGTAGTCTTCGCTTAGCTTTGCCATCTTTATTTAAGCATGTTGCTGTATTACATGAGTTATTCATTTTCCATATTCCATGGCATATTGAAAGTGTGTTTGTTTTTTAGGAATGTAAACTATGGATTTTGAATGAATAAGGTGGCAGATTTAAACATGGTCCCAAGGGTACTGTAAATTTTCAATAACTGTAAAAAAATTAGTTTCACCTTCAGAAATGACTTGGAGTGTGGGCCTGGTCCCAAAAGTTAAAGCATGGTTTTGAATTCAGAGTTACATTGGCAGATAACTAGCAACATCTGTCTATGTGTCTTGATATCTAGGAACAGCACACAGACTGCATTTTGTTTCTACTTCTAATCTCATCCCTTGACTTGGTTCTTTCCCCAAGACAACTAACAAATAAGAAAAATGACTATTGTATATTTTACTTTTCTCCTCTCATACTTTTCCTCTGATAGAATACTGATGAACTAAGATATGGCAAAACATTGGCCATAAAAAAGAGAAAATTATACAAAAATTGCACTGAAATTCATAGCCTATATAATCATCACCCAAAGAGAAACTACTAATTTTTAGAGTTGAGATCAGTATAACACATGTCTAAGTATAGAAGACACCAATAGTAGTTTACAAAAGTTATTAAGGTGATCTTTTAAGTTACTGATCTTCTCATTATGAGATACTTAGAGGTTTTATTTATAGAAGAAAGCAATTTTTATTCTATCTAATAAAAGAAAACCATTTTGTCATTGGTTTCTTATTTTAAAAACTCTTAATTTCTTTCAATTAATTTTGCTTTGGGTAAACTGAGATGAGTGGTTCACAGCATATTTTTCTCCAATGAAGCAGTCCAGGCTTTAAAAAATATATGACACTGTCTGATTGAAATTTTAGATTACCCAAAGGGTTTCTTTTAATTAATAACCATTTTTAAATAAAAATAATTTTGCCACCACTGTATTATCATTAGTGTCTTTCTTCCCCTGATAATTCACTGTGTGCTCCCAGCCAGATCAATTGCTTTTCTTGAACTTAAATTTCTCCACTTTTTAAGGAGGATAAGAATGATTAACATTATGGAATTTGGCATTCATACCCCAGGGCTTTGAATAAGTAATATAAAGACAGATGATATATTTGGGGATTGCTTTAATCTTTTTGGAATAATGGCACCGAATAAGTCTCTAAAGATAGATTGATGAAGAATCTATAGTAAAAAAAAAAAAGTATGTGTTTACTTAATATATATGTAAAAGGCATCTCTAGCAATTGTCATAATCCGTAGATTTGTTCAGTGTATCAATGCTGCAATCCAGTAAGATACTAAAAGAATTTTGAAGTGGACCTCATGCATTAATAGTGCCCCACACTGCCATATATATAGTCAGTCAGCTACATAAAATTCAGTTACAAAAAAAAATAATAATCCTCTTTTGACTTGAAGGTATCCCCATGAGAATTTAGAATGTCATCAAGTATGTTCATTTACTTGACTTTCTAATACTCTAAGCACATGTTCAATGAATGTGAGCTGGAGGACTTTGCCTTTTTTCATATGGCTTCTTCACAGTTACAAAGTGAACTAAATCCAGTGATGTATTTCTCTTAAACTATGATCAGCTAATGTCAGCAAAGGCTTTGTTTCTCCTTGACTGGGTTAGTGATAAACAACGATTCTAGAAGAAAATGGCTGTGTGTTCTATTACTGCAACCTAACACCTTAGGAAGCATATAGAACCAGTAGATGACTGCTTTGTGAATTCTCCAAATTTCAGCAAGAGGTTCATGTGCTATTTAAGAGTATAAAACAAATAACTTTCCCATCAGATAGGAGTTAGTCTTTCCTTATGCAGATTAACAAAAAGGAGAAAGTTTCTAATCCTGTCTCTCTGCTATAAGACAAATGTATAAATGACATTTATTTTAATAAAGAGAATAAAATACTGTCTTATTTAAACAGTGGATTTCATAAGTTCTCCAGTATGCCCTTTCTGTTCCTTAATTCAGTAATGACAAGCTTGCATTTGTCCATGTTCCTTTGGTCCTTATTTACCACTGCACCAAAAGTCCACACTACAAGTAATTCTGTCTTAAAGTACCCGGATATGATACATTATTAATATTGGAAGCATCAAATCAATCATTTAGTTCACAGTACATTTTATGGTCAAATGGGCATCAGGACTGTCAGCCACATAAAAATGTATTAATCATTTATTTCCTTTGTATGGATACATGTTATACAATTCCAGATGAAACAATTTTTCCATGGCAAAGCTTAGTCCATGACTCTTGGTTTATCCTATTTACTCCAACCAAGAAATGAGCAGCCCCCTAGAGATATAATTTCACAGCTAGATTCACTGTCCTACTGTGCCCTGGTGGGTGCTTGACCATCGATAGATATGGGCATAGCCTAAGAAAAGAAAAAAAGTTACTTGGAATTTTCAAGTTGTTAATGTTTAGTCCAAAGTAGAATAACTGAGCTTTTTCCCCAATAAGTTCTTTCTCCTAGTGAAGTACATACTAGTATTGTGATATGTGTTTTTCTATAAAGGACAGCATAAGTGGGCAGGAGTATTTTAATAAGGAATATAATTGTAAAGCCCTTTAGCAGTGATCAGTGAACACTTAAAAACTAGTATGAAAATCACTTTTCTCAAATACTTCAAAGCACTTTGTCCAGAATAGTTGCGCATTTCCCTCCTAATTTGCCTTTTACCCAGGGTTTCACTCTACGTAATCCACACTCTCAAGATCTAGTATTTTATTACTTCCTTAATAGTGTATGAAAAGTTTTTCTTTTATGTAAGATACTGTATAAGGTCCTGAAGAGAAATGTTTCATTCTTTAAGTCCATGAATATAAATTAACAAGAGAGAACATTTATTAATGTAAAATTGAAAAAATAAAAAACACCTGTGCACATACTAATTCTAAAAAATTGATTTTTCTGGCTCAGGCCCTGCTGTCAGATTTACCTCCTGAATTAGAAGAGATGGATTTCAATCATGCCTCACCAGAGCCTGATGATACCTCATTCAGTGTGTCTTCTTTATCAGAGAAAAATGCCTCAGACAGCTTGTGATTTGACGGGGGGTACATGATACATACAGCCTTTTGGCTGCCTAACAGGTGTGCATTTCCAGATAACTGCATTCTCTTGCCTCAAAATTCCTCAGTTGGAAAAACATATTGTTGAAACTGACATATTCTGTGAAGAATGGACAAGATATAATGGCTACAGTGTAAAAATGTATGTGAAATTTAAAAGCATCATTTGAGAAATTTTTCCAAACTGATAAAACTCTAGGGAACATTTGTATTTAATTTTTAACAGTTTATCTGAAATGTGTAATGCCTAATTTCTGAAAGATTTTTGTTTGGTTTTTAGAAGAATCTTAGTTTTAGTGATAGTTTTGACCAGAAACATAAAAATAAAGTTATTTCAGCATTACTTATCAAGTTATTAAAGCTTGGTTAGCTTTGTTTTGTAGCCATTACATCTTTATTCTCTTTCCTTTTCCTATCAGCTACATACACCTTTACTCAGGAAAGTGGACTGAAATTTGAAAACAAAACCTTAAAAATGATTTTACCTGAATGAGTCCTAGGATTTATTTTCGTTTTCCTGTGAGAATTTGACTTCAGCTGATGAATGAAAATTTAAGGATCACTGGTTTATAATTGTAAATTGTTGGTATTCTTCCATTTTCTAACCCAAATATTTGGAGGGAAGGGGAAATCATTATGGAAAAGTAATTAACCAACATGAAATCAAATAAATTATTAAGTGTATAGAAACAAAATGTTGTAAAAGATTAGTTTAATGGGGATTCTTCATTGTTGCAAATGACAAATATTGGTAAGATTCACGTTCTACTAGTAAATCTGTATAACTGAGTTAGATGAAATGTTGCACAAATATTACACATTTATCACTATCTTCATAATACTTTTTCAATTCTTACATTTTATGAAATAGGAAGTCAAGGTAAGGTAGAGTCTTCTTTTTTTAATCTAGCCACTCAGTTTTGTCACAAATTTTGTCCCATTCTCCTCTGAGGCTTGTACAGAGCCATCCACCAAGGATAATATCCAAAAAGAGTTATATACTACTGTGGTTGTAAATCACAGTCCTCTGAATTTCCCGGACACTTTTCTGTGAGTACGCTCCTAAAATGGGCATGCCACCCAGTTGTTCTATTAGTAGGTACCAGATGGCCATACACTGTAGACAATTCTTTGCACACTGTTCCTTCTGGGGCACCAGCTGGTATTACCAAGACCCAAAGAAGGGAAAATGCCAGTTCCTTAGTTTCTCCCTGAGCACACAGCATCATGTTTTTGTGAGTTGGCTGTGTGGAGTTGTGTTGTACTGTTAAATTACTATCTATTCCTAAAAGATTAATCAAGTATCTAGATGGCTTTCACTTTTTTTAAGAGAGGGAAAGAGAGAAGTAGGGGAGGGGCAGAGGGAGAGGGGGAGAGAGAGAATCTTAAGCAGGTTCTATGCCCAACCCAGAGCCCTATGTAGGGCTCAGACTTACAACCCTGAGATCATGACCTGAGCTGAAATCAGTAGTCAGATGCTTAACTGACTGAGTCACCCAGATGCCCCAACTAGATGGCTCTTTGGCCATCAAGTTTCTATGTCACATATTTTTGTAATTTGCAAGCAAATTCAATTTTGATCTTGGAATTCAGATACCTATTTATGAATGCAAAAAGGCAGTCATGTTTATCTTTGACCTTGAAATGTCCGTTGGTAATCCTTCATTTTGTCAGCTATTGTTTATGACTGTTGCCATGCTACTGCTATGGTTCTTTTGTTAACAGAAATATTTCAGTGGTTAGGTATGATCTTTTAGATGAAAGCCATACAGTTCTTTTCAAATAATGTTTAGTACTCCTTGCTGCGAAGTAAAATTCCATTCAGAAAAAGAGTTCTGAGTAAAAGAACCTCAGGCATTAGGAATAAATTTATCAGTCACACCAATTCCTCCATGAGATAAAAGAGTCCCTACTATACACAGTAAATGTAGAAACCATCTCATAAGATAGAATGAACAAATTCCAGGCTTTCAAGTCTCTCCTAGTAGCTCCATCCTATTCACTGAGTTTATCTTTAAACTGTAATTTCTTCTGCTCCAATTTAAGCTCTTTCTTTTTGGTTCTTTTTTTTTTCCAATTTTATTTTATTTTTTCAGTGTTCCAAGATTCATTGTTTATGTACCACACCCTCTTGTCACCAAGTAAGGATAGATAATTCTCTCCTATATTTTTCAGCTTTACAGATTGTATCGGTTACACCTCAGCAATTAGACACCAAATAAAAAAATATTCATCGAGCTTCTGCTATAGGGACATTCGATTTCTACTCCTTAGCAAGCCATAAACTTCAAAACGAATTATGTCTTTTCACTTTCTCAGAGATACTAATAAAAGTTATTTAAGTAGAAATTTTAATAAATTTAAAGATTCTGTTAGGTGTGATTCCTAGAAAAAATTCTCATCTACAATTTTGAAAGGACACATTGATGATTTCTTTGTTCCTGTTTAAAGTTCCATTAAAATAGAAACAGTACACTTAGGAATCCTTTTGTTTTGTGTTTCAGCACCAGAGTTATTTCTTTTATCATCAAAATTAAAACATTTAAAAAATGAAATGTAGTTGTTCTGTACCAGGGACCAAAAGAAATAGCTGCATCCAGAAAAAAAAAAATCATAATTGACAGAATTAAGTTAAGTACTGCAGATTTTTTAAAAGTTGCCAAAATCAAGTATTAAAAGTTTATTATGAAGAAAATATATTTTTTAACACATAATAGGTTGGAATTTTTTGAGACATCTTAAAGCAGAAAAATATCAGTTTGACTGCTTTTGTGACATCTTCATGACTAGGGGGAGAAAAACAACTAATGTTTCTTTCTTTAGGGTTTTGACACATTAAAACAGACCATACTATCTGAAGCATCTCTCACAATGACAGATACCAAGGTGAAATTTTTTTTTATTTTTTCCTTTTAACTACACTTTGATGTTTGCTTTCAGCTTAAGATAGCCAAGCAGTTTCTAAGTAACAAATGTTTATCTAAGGATGCTTACCTTAAAATGGGTTTTAAAAAATAACCTGAAGATACCTTCCTCATTCCAACCAAGCTAACATTAGTCACAAGAAAATGAGAACTATAGTTACCCTGGAAAATAGGAAACTTAGCATATGCAAGGAAAATATTAAAAGAAAATTGGTCTTAAACAATGAATATTGGAACACTGGAAAAAAAAAAAGAAAAGAAAATTGGACTTCTTGGAGGGCACCTGGATGGTTCAGTCTGTTAAGCAGCTGCCTTTGGCTCAGGTCATGATCTCAGGGTCCTGGGATGGAACCCAGCATCAGGCTCCCTGCTGAGCAGGAAGTCTGCTTCTGCCACTGCCCCTAACCCCTTCTCATGCTCCCCCTCTCTCTCTCTGTCAAATAAATAAATAAAATCTTAAGGAAGAAAGAAAATTGTTCTTTCTATGGGAACTGGGGATGCTTTGTTGTAAGGTCATATATCAACATTAGAACTTCTATGCTTACCAATGTAATCATGATAAAAATGTTATTGTTGGAGATGAAAAAGCTACAAACCAATCACATCATGTGCTGTGTATACTACCAGAACTTCAAGAAATGTCAAAGAGGTCCCAAAGACAGCAGTATCTATTTTAAGGCACTTTCATAGCCAGTCATCTTTAAATTTATAGGAAAAAGCAGAAGCGATGTATTTAGAAGAATTGTAGGCTCTAAATTAGACTTTGTTGCTTTATGTTTGGGGGGAGGAGGGGACATTCAGCCCATTTCCAAGGAATAGTTTCCTCATTTCAACCCGATAGTTTATGATCACTTTTAGAAGAAATTCTTAAAAATTTAATGCCTGTCCTTCCTCCACATTGTAGTGATGCTATAGCAGGAGTATTGCCTATTTTTTAAAAAATATATTAGATTTTCATTCAGGTCCTAAAAAATGACAAATTCTGACATATTAACCTTTTAAGGAGCTATCAGTGCTATAGTGTCTAAAAGATGAGTAAATGTTTATCTTTGAAGTTGGTGTTATTTTTGGAAGACAACACTAGCATACTCATCATATCGGGCTATTATTTTGTGATGATATAAGGGAGGATCCTACTAATTTGTGAGACTATGGTCAGCATACTATTGCCCCAAACAAACCATTATTAAGGTCAGATTTCTTAAGAGGGAAAGAGAATAAAATAATATTTTCATGAAACTATAATTATGATTGTTCTGTTAAGGTTTATACTGAGTATACATTGCTCTGCATTGAAATTTTATTTTATGTTAACTTGTTAAGTAATTCCTTTAAGTGATTCTGCATCCCATTTTACTGATACTACCTCTGAAATATATTACCACCTTAAAACCACATCACTGTAATGTGATCTTTTATAGGGTTTTTATTTAAATTTTATAGAGGCAATAAATGATTTCCAACTAATAGACATCTATTTCTTTCTTTTAATGTTTATTTTTCCAAGTCTTTGTGGTTTTTGTTTTTGTTTTTGTTTTTTTGAGAGAGAGAGAGAGAGAGAACAAGAATGGGGGGAGGAGGGACAGAGGGAGAAGGAGAGAGAGAATCTTAAGTAGGCTACACACTCAATGGGAAGCCCAATGCAGGGCTCTGTCGCACAACTCTGAGATAATGACCTGAGCTAAATCAAGAGCCAGATGCTTAACTGACTGAGCCACCCAGATGCCCCATAAGTCTTTGTGTTTAAAGCATTATTCCTTTTTTAAGGATAATTTTTCCTCCCAAAATAAGGTTCTGATAAAAAAGACCCCCCAAAATGCAGACAATAATAAGGTGTTATGTGTCAGAGAAGGGAGAACATGGAATGCTCAAGTGAAAATTTGGTTGAATTCCAAGCTTCCAAGTACATCATCTTTAATTGACTTTACTTAAAAAAGAATTACTCCAATTTCAATGTACTAGAGTGGATATTCAGTGATAGATAAAAAGATTTGTCCAGGGAAGGATATTTAAATAGTAAAACCAGAAAGTAAATTACCACCATATAAGCAAAGAATGTTATTTTCATAACAATTTTTTTAAAGTGATAGTGTTGCATCTAAATCTGGCTCTCCTTGACACCAATAGAGCATGCTTTTAATTTGGCTAAAATATGCCCATGCTTTTTTGTGTCAAAATCTTAAACCAATGAAAACTGTTCATGTTACCTAAATAATGGGAGAGGGCAGGAGGTGAGTTTAAAATAGCACATCAACAGTTTTCCTTCCCAGTTCAAGAGTGTTGCAAGGGGAAAAAATCACATACAAACATGCACTTCAAATGACCCAAGTCTTTCTCAGTCTGCAAAAAAATTGAGTTAACTTGGTGAAATCCTTTGATTTTATAAAAATGAATGGGAATAATTATATATCTATTTAAGAGACAGTCAATGGATGAGTATGCCCATAATACTGAATACTGTTTTTCACAACATTTGATACTACTTTTTTTTACATTTCTTGTGTGTATTATATTACAAAAGTAATATATGTTCATTTTAGGTATTCTAGAAAATGTAGATAGTATAAAGAAAAACAGAACCACTTGCAGTCCCCAAATTCCAATAATATCATTGTTAACGTCTTAGTATATTTCATTCCAGTCTTTTCTTCTTCATATTACATATATTCAGCAAAATTGGGATTATACTGAATATACTTTTATATGTCCTGCCTTTTTTTTCTTGTAATATATTGAGAGCATTCCTATGTAATCATTTGTCACCAAGGTAT